AAGTTGGGCTTCTTAGGAGAGCAGTGAGCAGGAGGTACCAATAATGAGGATGACACAGCAGCAGCTCATTAGCAGTAGCAGGGACAGTACCAGCTGCCCTCACTCTAGTACTGACTACATACACAACCTCTTTATTTCACACATTATCTCACTTCATTCTCATAAAAAAAAAAATCCTAATGGGGTAGGTATTATTGTGAGTCTGAACGTTAAAAACAAACTGAGCTAGTCAGTAGCTTGCCCAGTAGGTCCCCTAGCTAGTAAACAGCAGAGCTGGATCCAACCCCCATCTGTGCCCTCAGAGCATGAACTCAGTCAACTTGTGATTGACGGCCGAGGCCTGGCCTGGCTGGGAGGGCCAGGGGCCGCGCAGGCAATACTCTGAGTCAGGCAGCCTGCTCACCCGGGCAGCTTTCCAGGCAGGCGTTGGTCTCAGGTTGGGTTAGCCGGTGGCCCACCCTCTGGTCCTCCCAGAGTGAGGGTGACCTTCAGCTAGAGTGACCGGCCAAACTATTGTTTGCAGCTTTGCAGGAAGCTGTTTGAAAGGGTCATTGAAAAATGATCTTTCTAAATCAAGCTGTACCAATATTTTTATTTCCCTTCATGTAATGCCACATTTAAAGGCATTAGCTGGGCCTGTTTTGAAGGCCTGGGAAACAAGTCCCTATGACTTAAGTTCAGAAAAACAAAAGCGTTCCATGCTCAAAGAGAACAGAGAGCTGTGTGACATGCATCCTTCTTACAGCAAGTCCTTGCTCTTGGGATCTAATGCAAAACAAAAAAAATCGCATCTAAATCCAAAACACTTTTTCAGAGAAATGTCACATACCCTAATACTTATACATCTTAGATCATCTACTCATGGTTCTAACAAATTTTTTAAATAAGAAATTGGTAGAGAAACTGAGATCATTAATTGCATGGTTTACAACATTTTTTAAATAAGTGACAAATCGCTGTCACTAGTCTGGGAACTGGCTCTATGCAGTGTTAGTGGAGAAGGGAAATTGAGAACCAGACCCTTCCCCCCCAAATGTTCCCAACCTCTTCCCCAATCTACTGTACCTAAATTGAGACAGAAAATAAAAAGTAAAAACTAGAACCCTACTGATCTATGTCCAGAGTCTCTTTGTATCCATTATATGTAGGTATTGGGCTTGTGTTCACTATTCACTTCTTCCCAGAATTCGTGACTTGATGATGAGTACAGCAGATGAAACAGGAAAGCCCCCACACTCAGTAAGGACCACTGAAATAAAGCAATGGAGAAGCTACAGAAAACTGAGTACCAAAGGCAAAATTTCCCCTACGTGATCAAGATCAACTCTGAAAAACAAAGCCCAGGAGTTAAAGAGCAGGAAGGAACCAGAGAGAGCAGCGTTATAGATGAGGAAAGGGGCCTGGGCCTGCAAGGAAGGCCCCCTGCCAGTTCCAACAGCTCAATAGCGGCAGGGCTGGGAGGAGAACTCAGCTCTGCTAGAACCGGAGCCTCCCTGGAGCTGACCCTGGGCTCTGCAGAAAACAGGAAAACCTTGGCATTTCTAAAAATGGAAAGGCTCTCTACCTAAAACTAGGTAACATTTAGGCAAATGGCTGGTCATTTTAAGGTAAAATACTAAGATCATGAGAAAAAAAAGTTCTAATATTGTCAAGAAAAAGCACTAGAAATCTTATTTTCTATGAGACCCTAAAACATCGCTGCTTGTTTTTAGACTTTCATATTTTACATAATTCAAATCTTTTACTGTTCAGATTTAACCTATCAGTACATGTGAGGGAAGTGACCCCTTCAGAGAAGCTCCCATATTACAAGAGGGAGGCGTGTACGGATCCCCACTGTTGGGTCTGTCTGGCTAGGAGTGACCGGTTCTATCACAGCGGGGTCTCGGGAGGTCAGTAATTACAAAACTCAGCTGCAAGACAAAGAGTTTGAGGTTTGCAGAATGTGTGTCTAACTGAAGCCGTTCTTGTTGGCTCTACCTATTAAATTAAGTAAGACTATTTTCTTAATGAAAGGAAGAAGCAGGCAAATCAAAGATAAAAACTGAGTTCTTACAAATTAGAATGATGGTGTTTACTACCTCTCTTTTGATGCCACAAAAAAAAAGAGCTTAATTAGTCATAAAAGCAAAATTTTGACATCTCACAGGTTCTTTCTATTATCAACTGGTAAACAACAGTTGATGGTGATAATAAATGGTACCCTATGGCAGTGTTTTTGAACTCCAGTTCAAATAGTCACCTGGGTACTTTTTAGAATGTAGCTCTGATTCAGGGGGTCTGGGGTGGGGGAAGATGCTGCATTTCTAATGAACTTCTGATGCTGCTGGTCTGTGGACCACACTTTGAGTAGCAAAGCTCTACCCTTGACAAAGAACTTTCCTTGGTGGCTCTCCAGCTTGTCCAGGTGGAAGGGAATCATTAGTCATGAGGCTCTTTAGAGAACGTATCTTATTCCGGCACATCAACTGGACCAATCTTAATGCAAAAAAACAGCGCTATGCCAAGCAATGTGTCATGTGTCACTCAAAACACAACTGGCTACCAAGCTCATGACAACTGTTTGCTTCTGAACTTTTCTAGAAATGTTTGCTACTTGACTGGCACACAGAAAACTCAACGAATGCCTGTAGCATGAATGAATGACTGAATGCAAGGAAGAAGAAGGAAACTGAGCGAACATGGCTCCCTGCTGGACCCCGTGCACACTTAAACCATTGTGCAAAGCTTTCTACTGGTCATATATTGAGATGGGGGAACAATAAGAAACCGTCCTCAGACTTGGTGAGAGAGAAGAAGGGAGAGGGAGGAGAAAAGAAGCAGTGGGGGTGGGGGGAGGGATAGGAGCAGGAGCGAGACGGGGAGAAAAGAACATGAGTGCAGCAGCTAACTTCTGAGGACCACTGAGCACCAGGCATAGTGTTTAAGTCCTTTGCACAGATTATCTACTTAGTAAACTTCTGTGAATTGGGGATTATAATGATCCCACTTTACAGATTGAGAAACTGAGGCACAGAGAGGTAAGTAACTCAGGATAATCCGGTTAGGAAAGAGGAGGCAGACTCAGGACCTGCTCCCTGGCAGCCTCGGCACCGAATCATCAGGGCAGCATAGCTGGCTCCGCTGCCAGCCAAGGCAAGCCCTGACCCCACTTGTCTATTAGATGCTACAAGCAGCTAGTACCCACAAATCAGCCTGGCTATGCGGCCTCTCTGAGTCAGACAGTCACACAGCTCAAAAGACCTAATTTATATTTCGGGGGTCTGTGTTTTTATTGTACCGATAGACCCTAGTACTGGGGCTCCCCGTTTACCAGCTTTGTCTGATGGCTTTTTTAAAAATTGAGCACTAAAACAAATAACTGTCATGAATACTAAGAAGAGAATTTTTTTGGAGGGAGAGTAACTTTAAAAACATTTCAAGAACAGAGACCTCTCAATACCCTTTACACAGAAGGATCAATTGTTTGCATTTCGCCCCATTTACTTGATCAATTATGCTCATCTTTCTTTCTTTGGCTCTATCCAATATGTGTGTGTATGTGTGTGTGTATATATATATATATATATATATATATCACTATTTTTTTTTCTTGACTCATTTGAGAACAAGTTATAAACATTATTCTCCTTTAATCCTAAATACTCCAGTGCTAATTCCTAAGAATAAGGCCACTCCTACATGATCACAGGCTAATTATCAACTTCAGGAAAAGTTAATGTTGATACAATACCTTTGTCTAATGTACTATCCACATCAGTGTTGTCATTTGGCCCAGTGATGTTCTTTATAGCCGGGCCCAGTATGTTTTAATGGCTAGATGCGTATTAAGAATTAATACAGGTAATTAAGAATTAATATGAGTGGAGTGCTTTGGCATTTAGAAAGCCTTTTGTCTCATGTTGCCGCTCTGAGGTCAGGCGGCAGCACTGTCCTTGGTTTACCCAGGATGGAAATGAGGCTGAGAGGACATTAAATACAAAGGCAGAGTTCAGCCCCCTTCCTCCTTCATACCACTGCTTGGTGCTAATTTTAAAGACTTACTTTGTTTCAATGCCAACCAGCAGACTGACTACAAATCCAAACATTTTAAATTCTAAAAATAAAATAATATCGTTTGGGCACTTATGTCTCTAACCATTTTATGTTAACATTACAGATCCTGATGAACACCCACAGCTACACATGCAGAAAGAGTCCTGAGCTACCCCGGGGAGCAGCCTGGTAGGAGGTGGGCGGCCCTGGGGTGGTACGTGGGCCTCTGGCCTCTTCGGCGCCTGCCCAGCCTGCTTTGCAGAGACCACTCCACTGCACACAGAGAACTTGAGCCCACAATGGGCAAAGGATCCCCAAGTGTGGGCCTGACCGGAACACTGAAAGCCAAGACACACTGGGGGTCTCTTCCAAGGCACAGTGAAATGTTGGTTTAGGGGTGAGAGAGGCAGTTTCCCAATCCTCGGTAGTAGCCTGAAAAGGGATGCAAATTCACAAACCTGCCTGTTAAATAGAAAAGCCCTGGTTTGGGAAATGGAATTATTCGGATTCAAATCATCACTCTTCTATTATACTCAGCTCACTCGCCTTGGGCATGTTACCTAGCCTTGCTGGGCCTCAATTCCATCATCCCTAAACCCAGATAATGACACACACCACGCAGAGATGATGTGGAGTGGCCAGCACAGACTGTGGCACGCAGGAGGCCTCCAGCTCACGGTGTTTCGAGGCACAGAAAGCCTTCCCCAGGGCATGGCGGCACGGGGCAGGCCTCTGCTCTCCGCACAGTCCTGACACAGCCAAGCGCGGTAGAGCCTGCAGTGTGAGCAGACTGCGTGTGAGGTGGGGGTTTAGACAAAAATTCCGCATGGTCCACTGACTGTCGAGAATACGAAGTGAGCGACCGCACTAAGCGCTATCTCTGGCAACAGGGAGTCGAATTTTTCCCGTGTGTGACACTCTGCTCTCAGTTCGTGAACGTGGGGCAGGAAGATCAAAATATTTACCTTTTCCAAGGCCTCTCTGTCAAGTAGTTCTTGGACAGCTAGAAGCTTGATGCTGTAAGAAAAAAAATCAAAACCACACTTGAAAACAAATCATTTCGTGTCACCAAGGATCATCACATAAGTCATAAGAACAAAAGTCTGAAATGTCAGCCGGCGTTTCTATGTCGCCTCCCCTCTTAAGATGACCTTTTGTTTGAGACAAAATGACCATTTTAAAAATATTAAAAATGTTTCTAAATTCTAAAAGTAAATTTACCATATGATCCAGCAATTCCACTTTTAGGTATATTCCCAAAAGAGCTGAAATCAGGGACTTGAACAAATATTTGCACACCGAGTTCACAGCAGCATTATCTGTAACAGCCAAGAGGTAGAAACAACCCAAATGTCCAGTGACCGATGAATGTGTAAACAAAATGTAGTATATACGTTCAACGAATGTATCATTCAGCCTTAAAAAGGAAGGACATTCTGATACAGGCTACACCACAGCATGATGAATCTTGAAGACATGCAAAATGACACAAGCCAGTCACAAAAAGACAAATACTGATGATTCCACTGACATGAGATCACTTAGAGTCGTCAAATTGGCAGAGACGGAAATTAGGACGGTGGTTACCAGGGCCTGGGGGAGAGCGGATGGCGAGGTAGTGTTTAAAGGGCATGGGATTTCAGTTTGGGGTGAAGATGGATGGTGGTGATGGTTACACAACAACGTAAAGGTACTGAATGCCACTGAACTGTATACTTAAAAATGGATAAGATGCGAAATTTTATGTTATGTACCTTGCACCATAAAAAATTCTAAAAGTCATTGGTAGCTGCTTCCTCTAAGGAATTTGAACAAATTCAGAGGAATATAAAGAAGAAAACGGTCACCCATGACGCACAGACAGTATTCATCCTCACTTGGTGTCCCTTTGACAATCATGAGCAAAGTGCTAACCTGCCGCTTACAAAGGGGCCCTGCTCTGCTGCTCACTTGGTTACCAAACACTGATGGAGCCCTCCTGTGTGCAGGTGGCCAAGGAGCCATGACAACTCTGACATGCTCCCTGCCTGAGGCGCTCACAGCCTCTTGGAGGCCCCTATCAGTCCAGAACATGATGTACGTGTGCCCAGTGGACACAGGGAGAGGCAGGGAGGAGCCTGGCCTACCCAGGCCAGAAAAGGCTTCCTGCAGGAATCAGGTCAGCCTTGACAGGGGAGGGGCTGGGGACAGAGGCAATCCGCAGGGCGATCTACAAAGGCACCAAGGGGAGAGATGACCCACCCGTTTCAAAGGCAGGGGCCTGAGTCTAGACTGCAGCCAGCAACCGAGACGAGAGCGTTCAGAAGTACATGCAGGCTGACAGGGGAGGCATTTTCCCTTTTTTGACATGTTGCTTTGAAGTGTTCATGGACACAATGAGCAAGCAGTTGAGGCTGCTGGGGAGGCCTGGGCTGGACTCAGCACACGGCAGGAGCGTGAGAGTTCTGTGAGGTTATTTAGGGAGTGGGTCAGCTGTTGATGGTGTCATCATGTTCCCTCCCCACCTAGCTAATGTATTTATGGTCACTGGCCACTGTCCCTGCCCTTCCCTCCACCTGCCTGCACAGGTTCTGTATAACAGTAATGGCCCCACCTGTAGCACATGCCTCCCTCCAAAGGGATTCTGCCATTTTAAAGTTCACCTTAATTTACAGTATTTTTCATACTCTCTGTACAACTAAGCAGGCATTGTCCCACCAAATGCAGTGGCTTATTTGAAGCAGCTTCAGGAAGTCCAATAATAGTTTCTAAGGCTTATAAGAAACCACCACCACCACCAACATCAATTTAGCAAACATCCAGGCTAATGGACAAGAGCTTGGGCATTCCCTCAGCTCCAACCACACTGACTTTTGTTTCCTCTCTTAGGTTTGCTTTTGTTGTTTCTATGGCTGGGAAGGGTCTTCCCTGAGATCTTTCCGACACTACTCTGTCTCATCACCTCATTCCAGTCTAGATATGACTATCACCTTCTCCAAGCAGCCTTCCCTGGACACCCAGGTAAACGAACATCCCTGATCACAATACTTCATTTTCTTCAGTGTTCTTACTGGTACCCTAAGGCATGCACTATGTGTTTGTTGGGGTGTTTCTATCTGTCTCCTCTCAAAAAGCCCGGAAGCCCCTTGAGGCTGGGGGCTTGGACATTCTTGCTCATAACTACATCTGCGGTGTCTGCAACTGGCAGATGGAAAGCAGTCAAGGAGTATTACTGACTGACTGGGCCTGGACCTATAGGCCAAGTAGCTATTACAGCTCACACACTGTAGCTCAGATGGGCAATATCACAGGCCATGCCTCAGTTTCTCCACCTGAAAAAGAATGCCTCAAATGAAACGACTGGATGCATCCTTCCTTGGTGAAAGATGCTACGTGCATTTGTGTAACTGACTGCCATTAACGAAATACGCCCAGTGGTAGGTCACAGCCACTGGCCACTCCTCAGTACACTCTGATTCCCAATGTGCAAATCTAGATTCCAGGTTACCAATCTGGACAGCAACTTCCATGCTAAGTCAGGAGTATCCAGTTGTAGCTCAAGTTTCAGAAGCTTAAAAATTGCCTCTGAAACAACCACCGTAAATATTTACACTGGAGGGACTTTTTAAGTAATCTCCCATGCCTGCCCCTTCTACAGTCATGAAGTCCAATTTAGTTATCTAATATCGGACGGCAACAGGTTAGAGAAAAGCGTTAAACACTGTTAAGATATTCAACTCTCTCTTTCTTCCTATTCACGAAGGTACTACATTCAAGCCACTGTAAGACATGATTTGAAAACCAACAACTTCAGGCTCTGAAATTAAAAGGGCTAAAATAACTTCAGTTGACTCTCATTAAGGTCAAAACCCAAAGGATGCTACTCCCTGCTCTCATCACTTTACTGTCCTCTAGAACAGGGATGGCAAATACTCAGTATGCATGTTGCTACTCTCCAAACCCCTCCTCCTCTTTCCAAGGAACTCTCCCCACTGAACTTCGATTCAGCTTCAGAATCCTTCTTAACACTCCAGTGAGCCACAACCAATCTACTGAAATTGTCATGTGAGATAAAACCCATCTAACATCTGCTCTAAAACCGAAACCAAACAGTATTAATGTATGAAAGGCAGGGGGAAGAAAACTCCCCGAGACACACTCACACTACCAAAACCCAGCAACACAAGATGGGTCGCCTTAGGAGTGCGGGAGAAAAGATGGAGAGAAGATGAGACATTCAAATCTATAGTGTTTGAGCTTCGGAACAGATACAATGCCTATTAATAAGAGGCAACTGCCACAGCTGCTCATAACTTTGAACTTTTTCAGAAAACTGCTTTATCCTCCCGAGAGCGACAGTCTTTGAGGGTATTCTGAAATACTTCCTGTTACGTAACTATCCCAGTGTTATCTCTACCCTTCTTGGAAACCCTTCCAGTTTGGGGTATTTATTTCAGTGTTTATGATATTTGATTCTTCCAGCACGTCAGATACTCCCTGGGAGGAAATGTCACACATATGAAGGAGCAACAAACCCATTTAACAAATCTTCCATTTGACACCATCTAACTTCTCACCCTGGGAGAAAATCTGACATCTCACTATCAATTCTGCCCCTCCGTCCCACCTTTCTTCTGCTGATTCCACAAACATATACTGAATACCTCCTATATTTCAGAAGCTTCCATGTGTCAGGAGATGAGCACAACATCATCCCTGCCCTCCAAGGGCTCAGAGAAGCCAGGAAGCTGCGTCGGCACATGCCCAGGGAGCAGGGAGGTGTGTCTCCCTGAGACTCTCCTGGGTGGACCAGTGGAGCTGGGCCTAAGAGGATGCAGCTGGCGGTGGCCTGGGGCTTGGCCAGCAGCCTCTGAGAACAGGAGAGCCCCCATCAGATAAAAACTGCAATGAACTGTAATTTCTTTTTCTGTACTCCACTTTGAGAAGAGAGGCAAATCACACAAAAGCAGCTGGTGGAAGTGATTTATTTAGATAAATGACAGCTTCGAGGGCAAGTTCTGAAGTCAGGATGAGCAACACTCAGAAAGACCTAGAATGCATGCAATTAACGTTTGCTAAGTAAGCCCCAAGGAGATAAAGTGCTTGAGGCCAGATGTCTTATTTGGCTACATGGCGTGTGGCACAGCAAGGCCTATGATGGGATTAGAAGTGGTGATGGGGAAAGTGCCAAGCAGACACGGCCAGCAGGGAAGACGAGTTGCAAAATCGAGGAGACAGAAGCTGGAGAGCACCCCTGCAGTCCGGGTGGCGCAGGGCCCCAGATTGCATGGCCCCCAGTGGCCCCTCAAAAGGCAGACATGAGAGAACTGTACGGGTGCCGCAAAAGCACTTAAGGGGTAAACTCCCAACTGTAGAGGCACTCACGCTTCCAGAATAGATTATAACCTAAAGGAGACCAAAGTCAAGAATTCACTCTGTCTCCCTTTCTCTGAGGATTCTGGCACTTTGAGCTCCCACTGCATTTATTAAGTGACATAGTACAGTCCATGAAATATAGCAGTATGCAATACATACAGAATGAATACAGTATGACGGACCCGCTTATTCATCCCATGGATAAAATATTTGAGGTTTATGTATCATGCAACAGGCACCATCAGGCGCTGGGGATGCACTGATGTGCAAACGCGGCCTCTGCCTTCAGGCATCTGAGTCTAACGGAGGGACCAGGTAGGTACACCAGCCACGTGATGGGCAAACACAGGGTGCTGTGTGGCCCGTTGTGAGGACGCTGTACAAAGCTGGGAGGCTAGAGAGTGGCCTGTGAGCTGACAGACACCTACAGGCCTGCAAGGCAGCAAAGAGGACAGGAGCGTTCTAGGTAGGGTGGCAGGAATGGGACGAGCAAAGGAACGAGGGGAGAGAGTGAGCACGGCCCACTCAGGGACTGCACGCCGACCAGGGAACACATGGCAGAGGGGCTGGAGGTGGGGATAGGTGCCCAAGGATGATTCTGCAGAAGCAGGTGGGCCAGGCCTGCTCAGAATGTTTGCCGAGCCCATCAAGAGTAGCCACCA